GACTGGCTGAAGTTATCCGCAAACCAACCGTATCGTCGCTATCTCAAGCTGATACCACGACACTCCTCGGTCGAGATAATCACCGACACCCGACCACATCTGATAAAATTATCATTTATAAATATATGCACAAATAGTTGCGTAAAACCGTACAATCGGAAAAGTTGTAACATTATAAAGCTGACGCAGACATTACGGCGATTTTTAATAGGGTAGTGGCTCATTTCCAATAACATGCCTAACTCGTTGCCCTCTTTAATAGAAAAGCAAAACCAAAGCGAAATTTACAGCATTAATATGAGAATCATTCCAGCCCCGGAATATTTTTTTCTCTTATTAGCTGAACCTTAATTGGTACAAAAATAAGTGTTTTTTGAAACTGTAAATATAGAGCCAAGCTTCCCCTCATGAAATAAAAAATCCATCTGATTTCATTAGTGCGAACCTACTTGCTCTCTATTTTAGTTTTTTTTGTTTTCTTTACACTCTTCCTGATTACTCAACATTTTCATAAAGCACCTAGACATGCTTTTTTCTTACCAACTTATATTTTATTTTAGATTCCAATGGACTCACTTATATTATTGTATAAAATAGAAATTAGTGTGTAATTAGTAAAATACTACTCATGCCAAAAAAAAGTCGTAAAATTTTAATTGATTCTGATTTCCCATTGAGTTATATGGTAAAATTAATTATCTGTTATTATTAAATAAATTAGTATCTTTAAAATTGCTATAAAATACATTTTTATCCTCTCACAAATTGTATGGACGGTTAAGAACCCGTCCCTGTCAGGTTTTAGTAACTGCATCGCAGTATTTATTACACACAACCAAATATAAGACGACTTAATTTGGGGTGTTCGACCCGATCGTTTATAAAAAATAAATAAAAAACAGTCGCGACTGCAATCAGTACTGATACGGAATGGAGGTCTTCGGTCGTCGCTCGTAAATATTTGCATCGTCTGCATCAAATAACTTTAATATAAAAACATTATATATCGCCTTCATTTATACTCGTCGGAGAATCAAGACGAACAAAACAAAAATATTGTATAATTTTATTAAATTGAATCATAAGTTTGTTCTAATAGATTTTTCTAGCAAATATTGGATGGACTGATGACTTCAATTTCAAAGTATCTAATACCTTAATAGATAAAGAGCGAGACAAGAAATATTTATACTTTTGCTATACGCTTATTGAATATGTAGCCCTGGCCTTATCACTTCCAGCATCTTTGATCCAGATCCTTTTCGGTATGTCTATATGTAAAGTCATAAATTACCACTCGATGCTCTTTCCAGCATACATTTAATGTAATCAATCTAAGGTGACAAAATAGCAACGAATTTATTAAATTCAGTAGTAGGAAGACATGTAAAATTACGTAACAATATAATATTTTACCGACGTGATCTGATGATGGAGCTGGAAGGTGGCTACAGGAACTTCGCAATGCAACGATAAAACCTAACCTTCTTTGGACTCGTTTGAAGCGTCGTAATGAAAAGATTGTCTCTTTTTAAATTTTATTTCTTTTAATTAAGAACAACGTAATAAAAACTTTTTAAATAAAGTTGGTTTTTCTAAATTATTTGATTAAATTCTAAATCTGTAGCTTTATTAATATACAAGATTTAATAATACCGCGACAGAATCGATTAAAATTGATCCGGAAACTTAATGCTGCAGTCTTCGGATGCAAATATTTTACTTTTTATATCGACGAAAACGAGAAAAAAACTATCAAAAGCGAGTCTGAAGCTGCAGACCTTGAAACAATTGATTGTTGTTATTGTTAATGTGTTGCTCGTGTATGTTTCTGTGAGTCGTGTAAAGTTCATAGTAAACCAGTTGCTTGAATTTCGAAAGGTGCTGTTTTTAACAGTTTTGTATACACTGAGATGCAACGATTTTGTTACTGTTTTATAGACGAAATATAATTGTTGTTAAAAACAGGTTATTAATATAACTGTGGTAATGTAAAATATAAAAGTTGTGCACGCCTTACCAGTGATTCTGATCTGCATGAACACGTTGTTCTCGATAAGATAATTGCACTTAATTTAATATTTAAATATCTTTGAAATTCTTAACACATGGTATTATTGGTGGCATGACATATGACATAAGCGCAGCCTTTGAACCCGTATATAATATAATATCTACTAGAAATAAAGTTGGAGTGTCTGTACGTAACAAAGAAATATATCTTGCGAACATGATATATTTGTCGAATTTTTTTAAATGTATGTTTGTTAGTCCGTCTCTCTTTCTGTCTATGTGAATAATATCCGAAACACGGGCAAACGCTAGTAAATAATAAAAGCCTTTTATTCCTATTAGTTAACTACAGAATATTTTCTTAATGAACACACATTTTTATGATGAATAGCTGTCGCGCTACTTTCCACGCCGATATGAAAAAGCCTACACGCACGTGATATCCCAAAGTAATGGAGTAACAAGGGATTAAAATACTAAACAGGACAATCCGAATTCAAAGGAAGGGATTTTCCTGCGACTTTGTTTACGCTGTAAATTACATATACTAAAATTACACTTACATATTAAGCCTACGTTTTACTAAAATGATAATAGCGACTGTTTAGATGGATGGATGAATGAATGAATATTTGAAGGTATCTCCAGATCGGCTGAACAGATCTCGATAAAAATTGGCAAACATATAGAACATAGTCTGGAAAAACACATAGGCTAATACATAATTACTAATTATGTTATTTTTTATTCCGCGCAGACGGAGTCGCAGGCGACCGCTTGTATAGTATAGAATAGTATGATATAAAGCCACTTAGCAAATCTTCATAAAGTTCATGAGAAAGAAATATGTACATAAGTACTAAACGTTTTACAAATGTAAAAATGTTAATTGAACTCGCCATCCCTAGTAAAATTTTATATAATTATGAAATATGATGCTAAATTAATAAATTACTACTTGTTTATAATGACGTGTCCCATATTGTTTGACATAGCTTATGGTGACCGTACACAGAAGGTGCGTCAACTATCAGTCAATTGGCGCGGCGGGCTGCGGGCGGCGCGGGAGGGGTCTGTATTTCGGCGGCCTTCCTGAAGAGCCTTCAGGTGACGCGTCGGCCCGTCTAGACGTCTGGCGCCTACCATATGTCGCATTACGTGCTATTAATTTTTCGCGACTCGATTTAATCTTATTTTATGAATTTTAATCGCTATCATTGCCGAAATCTCTTACGAAACGTTTCGTAATTCAATTTATTAAGTGCCAATTTTGTATGCAGAATTTACTGCTAATAATTCATTAGGTTTTATTAATTGTATGACAAACAGAAATCGAATACAAATTTGTATATGGTATGTAGCAATATATTATAATAATTTTTGGATTTAACCCATAACAGTACATTTTGCGACATCTTGTTATATATGTGTCTATCTGTATTACAAAAAACTTAAAGTATGTAAGATGTCAGATGAAATGATTTATATATCTGGGTCTGGTAAGGAGCAATTTCTATAAAGAAGTAGGAACTACTTGATTGACATAATATAAACATAGAGCTAATTGTGAACTGAATTATGTAGTCAATACTCGTTTTGACAGCAATTACATGGAAAATAAATTAAATGAAATTAAAAATTTGACTTTTTTTTTGAAAAATAACATGACCATCTCAAGATTCTTGAATACATATACATAAAAAGGTATGAGTGCTGTACCTCTTTGCTTTGAGTCAGGATTTGTGTTGAATGATATGTATTGATAGTAAGTATATTAGAGTAGACGCATTTTTCTCAGGCGGCGAAGCGTGTCGTCTAGACGCGAAGGAAGCGACCGGCGGACACTCGCACGGATATTCTGTGAAAGGGCTCCTTTACTTTTTGTGAGCAGACGCCGACTAGGATGCTAGTGCTGACCCTTTACGGAATCTTGGCTCTGCAGTACAATGTATTTGAGCGGAGAAATAGAAACTTGTTATTCAAGTGCCGATGCGCAGTAAAAATTCGATGGAATGAGAGAACAATCATTGTCTTTAAAGTAAAATATTATTTGTCAAGCCGAATTATCGTGATTATTTTGGACTGATATACATAATATTAAGAAGAACTTGTTAAAGTTGTTCATGTTTTTCAATACTGTTGGTGTAAAGGATTTGTTTCTTTGTAATAGATAAATAGACAAATGAGAAAATATGTAGTTTTACATAAATATATTATATCTATTGTTAAATATTAATTATTGAATCTCAGAGTAGCCTGTTTCACAAATTGACTTTTAGGGATTACCTGTAACAACGTACTTACTACGACAAAAAATTTGCAAACAATTAAGTTAGAGTCAACATAAGAGTGAATAACCAACGTTCTATTTATAACAAACGTGTTTTTTATCCGCGTTCTCGAGAATGCGTTGAATTCTTATTGTTTTGCTTCGTGTCATCATTAGGCGAATTAATACGAATATCGTAATAGCTGTAAAGTTAAATTGACCGCGAAATATAAACGCGCGCCGCGTCTAGTTTGTAACACTAACTTTGTTACATTTATGTTCAAAAATAAACGAGCGTTACAAAAATTGCTTGAGATTTATGTGAAAACATCAGTATTTCTTTGGCAACAAACATTTGCCATATTATAATACAATGCATTACCGAATTATAAACCGTAACCGACGCGGACGCAGGCGGAGGTGTGAAAAATATATGACTATGTTATTTATTGCTAAGTTTTATTACTTTATTTTATTGTTAGCACACACATTAACAAATAACTGTCTGTTTTTATAGTAAGGCGTTCATCTGATGTCAAGTGAAACCCATGGCAGTATCAGAATAGAGTGATTAATTAAGTATGAGGTTTTGTAAAGGTGATTTAGCACACGAAATATAGTATTTTTTAAATAAATGCACTCTATAGGATGGTGTTTTCTCATTAACTGTTGTCACTGTAGGAACACAGATAAACATTCGAATTTGTTACTTGCTTACCTGCCTCGCTGGCGTAGCGACGCAAAGTAGGTCTTGACCGACACAAGAGGTCGCCAACGCCGTCTGATCTGTGCTGTCTCCTGCCATTTAATCGCTTGTAACTCGCACATCGTCAGCTCCAAGTCGTCTCTCCGCCATTATCTGGACCGAATTCATATTAGTTACTTACTTTTATAAGTTATATTATGCACACTTATATAGTTAAGAGTACATGCAGTTAATATAACGACTTATCTTCTAGCAATTGCCATCGGCATACGCTTGCAACATTTATATGTGCACGCTCGACGTCAATAGAATAGTCAATATTGTTACGTTGTTTGGGGTCTGCCTCTCGATGGGGGACTAAACATGGGATTGTTTAATTAGATGACGAGAGGGGGAGGGTCGGAATAAACTAATTAACCCTCCCTCGAGTCTCGCGTACTAACTGTGTATCCTGTAAACCAGCTTATCAAATCGATCGTTAATATTATTATAAAAAAACATATTTGATTAATGGTAATAATATTAACTTCTTTAGCGATATAAAGCTCGCATACCAACGAACAACTGAGACTATGTTTATTAATCTATACATCTAACCGAGCAATGTATAGCACAAAATGAAATAAACTACATAACAATGCAGCACTTAAAATAGCAGTTGTGATTTCGTTCCGATTCCATAAAATTGCCTGTGTCTCAATAAAGTGTGTGTCTCGGCGGGATAAATAAGAATGTTGCTGCAACTAAGAGATGCTACGTTCCTTATAAGTTTAGTAAGCGCTTATTTCGTTACACGTGCCAGTGGAGTGAGGCCATTGTGTACTCCACTCCAATAGTTCATAATAATAACTATAACTAGTATGTTATTTATTCATTTCGTTTCGGTCGTTTATTTTATTCGTCAAAAAAATATTTTATTTTATAATAAAAACTTTTAGGCGAAAAAAAAATTTTTCAAACTCGGAGCATCAGGGACGGAGTTACGCGGTAACACACATAAAAAAAACATACAGACGAATAAATAACCTCCTTCTTTTTGAAGTCTCGTAAAAAGAAACTCTTCATGTGACAAACGGGTGGGGATAGACATATAGACAAATTCAGGAAGTCAACCGCAGCCACCTTACAGTCTTGCTCTAAACGTGGATATCGGCTACATGCTTAAGTAAATGACCTTTTCAAAAGACTGTATCTGTGTTTTACTGAAGAACTTCAGTGATATTTAAAAATAATAATTGTTAATCACTCTCGTATTATTTTTAGATCTTCACTATTTTTAGCATAAAATATAAGCTTACTAATACTAAGCTTAAGGCAGATAAAAATATTTTATAAACAAAAGTTGCGCTAAATGTCCAATTCGCATACATAAAATTTATAGATGCAACAAAACTGGACATTCTGTAATAATTTATACATGCGATGGTTAAATTTACATTTCTTATCGCCAGACTGACCACACAATGTGCCAATTTGGTATTTGATAATTCTATCGTTTTTAGAATAAAAATATAGTTTTTATTTCAATAATTAAATACACAATTTTATGCGGTTATGAAATAGAGGAGGAAATAATTTTGTTATATAGAAAAGCGAGCTATATATTTACTTATACCTAATGTTAAACAACATAGCTTCTCGTAGCATGAGTGGACGATAACTGAACATTTTAAACAAAAGATACTTTTAAAGCATCTGCTGTTCCTCTGGGGTTGCGGATGTCCATCGACATCAGTGATTTCTTTTTATTAAGGTTCCAACTGCTCTTATAATACGTCGGATTACTTTATTTTAATGTTGGTAGTAGGTATGCATTACTTATGACCACCGTAGACTATTATTATTGATCACACCCTATCGTTATAATAGTGCCACTTGATACAGTACGGCGCTTTGATTAGTATTGTAGAAAAAAAACACAATGATATTTATTAAAGGACCCTCATGAACCCTGATCCCTGTCCACTCCTCGGGCCGTCGCTTTGATGTGGGATTGCTCAATGAGGTTACATCATGCCAGCGGGGAAATGCACTCGGTTGCGCCCCCGACGTCGCGTGCTCTCTCGCCCGACCGAGCGCCACTGCCACCGCCGCCGACTATCTGCTCATTCATAGAATTAACAAACAAAAACCCTGCGTTCCTTTGATGCTTCTATTCAAATCGATGGTTACATAAATAAACCGTATTATTGCCATATGTAAATCAGACATTTTAAAATTGTGAATATTAATCCGCATTATAAATCAAGGAACCAGGAAATAATAATGATACGATACGGAATGATATATTGTCGTCTTACAATAATAAGTCTGCGCATCTTTTTATTGTGCCGGTATACTGCTTTTTTGGCTTGACTTTGACTTTTTGATTCGTAGTCTTCATTAGAATTACTCTCTTATACAGTTTCAATATAGTGCAGTTATCATAAAATAATAATATGCAATGCAGAAATAAACTATGAGATTTATTCCAAGGCAACGGCTGCGCTCGTAGAATCAATCAGTCCGGGCGGGGCGCGCGGACGGCGCGGCGGCGGGCGGCGGGCGCGCATGCCACTCGCTGTCGTAATTTTAATTCATTCACAATTTCCTTCGGTTCGGTAATGTTTTGCCGTTCACGCATCACTGGACGGCAAGGTAATAAACAAGGCATAGACAAACACAGCCGCTGTAGCCGGTGTCAATGTTCCAACATGTAATAACAGTACAGAAATAATACTCTATTCACCATTGATACAATCTATCTATATTATTCACAACTTTCGATACAACTCAGTAGTATTTTTTTGTATAACGCTAAATTGTCTCATCGTGTCTATATAGTAAGAAAATAGTAGGAAACAAAAACATGATTTCGATTTTATTTCAAGTAAGTCGAGAAAAAGTGAAGGTTTCTTCAGTCATATAGGTTCTGAAATGTACAAATTATTTGCTGCCATAAAATAAATCAACTTGGTAGATTACGATATTAGTTGGCAATTAGTGGTAAATCCAAACCGCAACAGTCTGAGCATAATGAGGAGGGACATCGGATTATGTGATGAGCGGGCATAGGTCTGTAGTGGGCCGCGCGGGGTGACCGCTTCGGGCGCACCGGGTGCCATATTCGGTCAGTGCACAACGTTGTTTACCGACGCGGTATCGCGAGGCCGCGTGACGTAGCGTCTAGACGGCGCCCCTCCCCCCGCCGCCGCCGCCGGCCCGCGCCCGCGCCCCTCGCCCCGTTGGCCATGCACTCGCTCGAGCACCGGTTTATCTTTTAGAACGGTAACACTGCAACAAACAGCCTTGTATGCATTAGGACCGAGGCCCTACGGATGGTGGCCGCGCGTATCGTTGTTAGTGTCGAGTTATGTTCGACGAGTAGATCACGCGGCATGGTGTGCGCTTGACTTAACACGAAGATAAGGCAGATTTCACGAGGCGCACACCTGATCTCCGAGATAAACGGTTGACACTCATATAGGGCAATGATAAGAACTTGTTACAATTATTTTAATTGTAAACATTGAATGTTACGTCTGATGAAATGTCTAAATGTATCACAGAGAATCTCGGTATCAGCACCGTCTACAATACTACTTGATAACATTATCAGTCGTAATAGTCTACAATCTAGCAAGCCATAGATATTCTTTACACTGATAATATTTGTAGGTGCCAAGTGTCGGCAAATATTTCATTTTATAATATTTTTCTCTTCATTAATGGTAACTGATTGATCCCTAATTTACAATTGTATCTTTTTCCTGATGTCAAAGCAATGCTTTGCTACTGTTTAGTTCTGTTCATTCGACTCTTATCTGTGAACTCTTGCGCAATAGATTCAAAGAGGCTAACAATTTGTTTAAGCTCAGTTGTATTTGTCAGTTTATGTGAGCTACACCCATACCATCTCTTCGATTACTTCAACTGCTCAGACACATCGATATCTTGTGTAAATGATGTAGGTACTTTACTAGATTTACACAATAACATTTTGAGATGGTCTACAATCTCTATAGATACATAAAAACTAAAAACTACTTGTCAATAGTTCATTAATAAATTAGACCGTTCACTGATAAGCGTTCCGTTTGGAATAAAAAAAAAGATTTTTTACTCCTTCTATCTCTAGCCAAGATTATCTACTGGCGACGTCATATGCCGTTGCGTTTATACATTCTAATTGATACTTTTTACAAGTCATAAATTTCAAAGAGCCTATTAATATATCGTTAATCTAATGCACACATAATATTCCTGTTTTATCAATCAGTGTTGCCGGAATTAACCACATTATTAGCAACTTGTGTGTCCGACTCACTGCGTTGACGCAACCCGCCAGACAAAATTATGAGTCACGGCGACTTAAAATTTAATATGTTGATATACTATGCACGTCGATATGTTATCATAGCAGAAGCTTCCTAGGAAATTGACTCACAAAGAGTATAAACCAAGAAAGAAAAGTAAGGAAAATAGAATATGCGGATAGTTTTAGGATAGTAAATAGAAAATTCATAAATACGCTATTTTATTTATGTCTGGATGACCTATTTTAAACTTTGTTATCATTTTAGGCATGTTAAAGACAAAAATATTTTTCTTTTCAGTTAGACCAGGTGAAGCAGACGTCTCTACAGTTGCAATCTAAGTATCTATTGGATAATTGTGAGCTATAGAATTGAACGCCATCTGTCTGGACGTAACTGCGACTAACTACTAACTGGATTGGATGGCAAAAACTTTTGATTAGCCTCACTCAATGGAAGAATATAAAACATATATGTTATATAAAAAGTTAGAACTCGAATTTTACATTTTAATTATTGAAGGAATATTTAAATTAAAAAAAAAAAATTATCGACATAATGACACTTCTTTTAATTATCATGATGATTAATTAATTAAATAACGGCTTTTTTCGTTAAAGCGATGGTGAAGTTAAATAAAGTAAACCGCATCGCTGTTCATTAATTGGATAAGTTAGTAAATAATGGCTTAATCAAATTCATGTTTTACATAAAAGTTGCAACAGGGATTTTATCAACAATCACTATTAAATAAGATTTATTAATCTGACACTATCTCAAATGACGTCAACACTCGATGATCTATATAAATTATATACATACATATTACATAGATTGTATACATATTACTGGAAAACTATAATAGAACTATAAAATCGTAAATGCTTACGACAGCATTGAATTATATTTTTAATCTACTAACATCCGTTTACTTGATAAGAATAACGTTTTAAATGATAATTTCAACATTAATGGGGCTTCCCCATTTTCTTTATCGTGGATAGATAAGGCTAATTCATTCGTTAATTCTATATTTTATAACATAAACTTTCAAATACATTTTCTAGCTGAGTGTAATTGGAACGTAACATCGACAAAAAGGTTACAAAAAAATTTATAAAAAAATATATATTTTAGCCCGTTTGTAAATACAGAGCGAAGTTGTTTTATGTCATATTTAGTAAAGCTAATCTAAATCCTGGAAATGGCCAACTAATCATGTGCTTCTACATTATTTTGTTAACACTTTTGTTACACAAAAAAAAAGCATTCGTAAGTATTAAGATTTAAACTTAAGTATTACGTTATTTAATCGTAATATAAATAATCTTACAAACAACACAATAGTATGTGCTTGTACTATCTACATATATTATATGTATGCGACTCCGTTAGCCTTTATGTGGCAAAATTTAATTATTTGGTTTCGACCTATAACTGGTGAAATTATGACTTAACAACAAATAAAATAACCCTGTCTTATATTGTAGTATTTTATCATGTTTAAAAACTACTAATATTTTATCTCAATCTATGTTTATGGTTTATTACATTTTTAACGGTTCCGGGCAATGGAATATTTTGATAGAGCCAGTCGGTAGTGTAACACAAACCGTTTCATTATTCGTCGCCTCGCCGGTGATAATGACGAAGGTCATTTAGCGAGTGTGCATCCGTCTAGACCGCAACTCGCGGCTAGTTGAACGCAGCGCTGCCCAAATGCAGGCCCCATCAATTTAATTATTAATTTATGTACGTACCAAAGTAATTTACGTTTAAATTTAATAAGCACGGTATAATTGATGATATAGACATATACATACATGTATATACATGTACATACATATGTATGAAATAAAAATAAATAGAAAGCTATAATTCTGAATGAAATTAATATGCTTTTCATTATTATCAGCGGTCTTAAAATGAGAACACAAAGAACTTTGGAAAGAATTAGTGTATGATTCCATTTTCCATTTAATTTAATCTTATGCACGGTGTTCAAACAATGTGTATATAAGAAAAAGTATTTTAGAAATGGTGGACAATAAGGTAATTCTGCTGATTTATATTGCGCTTTCTCGTGTTAAAAAACTACAAGGTTTATTTTATTTTTATATATTTATATTTGTCAACATTGTGTTTAAATTTGTTTTATATCCGCGACGACTTAAAATGTTGAGAAGCCCTGATCTAACCCACCAGTCTAGCCGACTAACTACACAATGGCCCTGCAAATAATACATAGTCTGTTTGGGGTTCAGAGCGTGTGTCAGTTCATTATGAGTTCAAGGTTGGCGATTATAGCTGTCTCGTTGAATGCAGGGCCGCGTACGAAACACCGCTCTCTGCATTCCTTTAGGCTAACAATCATTAATATTATGTAATGACACAAATCTAATAGTACAGAAGTAAGAAATTAACTTTGACTATATCGGACATGGTGGTACCATCTCTATTACTTTTTCAGCTTCTGTGCGTCAGTGAAAAGCAACTACGTTTTAAAACAAGATTTGAAACTAAAACCTACGTCGGAGTACTAAGCGAATATTAAATGTGGACTACTACTAAGTAAGGGATCGTGGTAGTATTTTCTGGTATTCTGAGGCGCAATATTTTGTCCTACAAGTAGTGATATTGTTTACATGGATGATTTTTAGTTTAGGCATATTATAAATATATTGGCGGTCTAATGATGACTTATTATTGGTGTAGTATTAGAAATACGTTTTGAGTTAGTATAACAATTTCGTTTATTATAAACTAAGTAATTTTATTAACCTAAATAATTATTAGTTTATTTATTTAACTCACCAAACACGGCTGGCGACAGGCAGGCGGCCGGTCGCAAAAATTGATAAAACTTGGCGCGCCGACGTGAGTGGGATAAGGCCAGGGAGATGTGGATTGGCAGTCTAACTACACAATTATCTGATATGATGAGCAGCACAAACGCTCTGTTGATGCTCTGCGCAGAGTTTTACATCTAGTGTAAAAGAGTCACGCTTCTACTCTTATTAAATGGTGGACAACGCGTGCCGATTGCATACCAAGGCGTCGGTCTTGTCGGCCTCGAGCCGCGACAGGGAAATCGCCAGACAGCTACCGAAAATTGGGTTAGGCGCGTTTTTACGCGGCGCCCGCGCTGCAAGCGTGAGGTCGATGAGCCCGCGCTCCTCCCCGCCCCCCGCACCGCGCAGCGCACCCGCCACCCCCGCCGACCAGTTCCAGCACAAGGTGCAGCGCCCGCTGCCCCGCTGCCAACCCTACATACCTACCACCTGCCAGACACTAAGCGAGTATAACACATGAAGTCAACTACGTCTCGACTCGACAAAGGAACAGGAAACTACAGTCACCTTCTTTTTTAAGTTAAAATAATAAACCGCATTCGATTCGGATAAGAAAAGCAATGTTACAACGCCCCAATTGTTATTCGTGTTTGAAGAAAATTGTAAAAACGTTAAGATGCACAAAAAACGACTCGAATCGACTAATGATTTTTAAAGTCCAATATTTTTTCCATTAAATTGTTGTGAAAATTTAAACCATTTCTATGATCTGTAAATTTTTAACGTAAAATGAAGTGCTAGAGATAAATGTTTCCACTTAGACGCGCTCACGCGGCGCACCAATTAGCAGCACAAATCGTGATTCAAAATAAATCATGTCTAGCATTATCGAGTAACGGCCGCCTAATTGAAGCCTTCAGGACTTTGAAACGGCAAAATAAACTGCACCGTCTGCGGCCGAGGGTGCAACGACATCAGTTTATACACTTTGGAACCAATCCGCGGCTCCTAATTGCTGATGTTTTTCTGCACCCACTTCGAAACTATTATATTTTTAAGGATTGAGATCTGTCTGCAGATAAATAAAGAGAATGGATCGTCTGGGACGTGCCGTCCGCTAGCTTAGAGGCGCATACGCAATCGTTTGTTTACGTTCGCGATTCAATGCGCAAAGAATTAATTAAATTATTTAAGTATGCGACACGATGCACATATTACTGTAGAGAGCGTTTATATTACAAACACATTGCTTACAGATTCTTAAATTAATACATCATTACGTAATTCGTGTCTCAAAGATATCATACCTCCAGATGCTTGTACAATCGGCACCCAGAAGTGAAGCCGAAAAGTATTATAATAGATTGGTAAATTCGTAAAATATTGCATGTACATAACATATATCGTGTCCAGCGACAAGTATTTAAAATGTTTACAACGGTACTAGTTCCGAGTCATGATAGTTTCTGAGGACCCCAAAAAACATTAAAACTTAAATAATCGTATACTATCTTTACTTATTTGTACATTTTGGTTAGCCACTAGACGAGACAAAAATTGTTGTTTCTAGGAATTTTTCAAGTTGAAAATTTCATGACGTTTCGAAATTCATCACGAAAGATAAACATAAAATGTGTTATTTAGTACATAAAACTGCACATGAAATATACGAGTGCACTCTGAGCACAGCTTTGGAAGGCTTAACAAGCGGCGAGGCGAAGCGAGGCGAGCTGAAAGCGACGACTAGTGGGTAGTGACTAGTGAACGGCTGCAGCCTGCAGACTCGGTTCAAATTATTTGGTAGCGGCGCGGCGCAGACAAGAAAACTTCATTATCGTTGCTCTCTGAGGACGTGCGCTCCTCAGACGATTTCAGTTCTATACGAATTTGTAAGTAAATATTTTGAAAAAGTCAACCTACATTTAATATATCTCCCAAATATTTTTACTGCAGCTATCGGATGTATACCTTAAACTGATTGTTGTGACAATAAATCACAAATAAATAAATAAATAAACAATATTTTGGTCATCAAACAACTAACATTATAAATGCGACTGTTTGTATTGATAGATTGATAGATGGATGGTTTGTTTGACGGTATTTCCAAATACCTGTATGGATCTCGCTAAAACTTGGCATATATGTAGAACAAAATCTGGAAGAACACTTAGCATACTAATAAAGTTATTTTTAATACCCCGCTAACGGGCTCACAGGCGACAGCTACTTAAAAGATAACACGAAATAAAGCATAAAATTATTTACAAGTAAACAATCATTAAGAGAAGTACCTACAATTTATGTAGTGATTCATGACCGGGTTTTTTCCCATGTATCGACTATCACATGCTATTCGAATGTCCGGACGATGATAATATTGTTGCAGAAACATTGCCAAATGGCGAATGTAGGTATTGGACTTGTATGTTGTAGGTATGCTAGATTTATTCACGTCAAGTGGCCGAGGCGTCGCGTCACAATGTAAGCCGAACGCGTCTAGACATTCTGCAGACGAATTTTAAAAACGCGACCGCGGCTTCGTTTGCAATGCCTACATTAATGTCTAGCCGGACTAGGTATTTGAACAATAAAACCCAGTTAACAACACTTATTTCATTTATTTATTTCCACTATGTTGCTGGTGGTTAGCGAATTACCTACATACGAGTACATAAATACATTTAGATGGCATGTAAACTAGGCTTCTTCTAATATCACATTTTGGGACTTTAACAGTACATTGAAGTTCCTACTAATTCATTACTCCAATCCATATTACAAGTATTAGAGTGAAGGAACTGCTACTAATGGTGACACGAATCACAATACCCACAATTGAATAAATGTAGTTATAAAGGTCAAAGTTCTAATTTCTATTTCGACATCAATAAGAGACTAGGTCTAGACTAGATCCGCTTAGTATAATTCGTTCTCAAATTCAAGCGTCTATGTTTACGACAACAATCTAGACTTGAGTTTTATTCTAGACGGCTAGACAGCTTCGACGCCTCAAGGCCAGCGCAATCTTGATATTCATTGAAATCCTGACCAGTTCCAGTATTCCATAGGATAAACATACAGGCTCCTTATACTTTTATACATACCTGTTAATTATACGAGATAATTTTTTAAAATCTTTATTCATAATTATTTGAAGCATGTACATATTTTATTTATAAATAGAAGTTGCCTGCGACTTCGCCCGCGTGGAATTATAAAAATTTAGTAAGAAATATAATAGGCTTTAGCCTTTATCACCCGGGTTAGTGTAGCTTCTAAACAGTGAAATATTTTGTTTTGAAATTTATTCAGTAGTTTCGGTAACTTTTCAATATATACAAATAAAGAATGAAATCATTTCTCTTAATAACATTTAAAATACAAATTTTTATTTTAGTTACAACCACAACTCATAGGGGACTAAAATACAAATATCGATCGTCAAAAAATAACACTTACCGTTAGTTTTGATTATATCCAAAGCTTCACAGCAAACTTCACAGTTAACTTCACGTCTCTTCTAGTAAATTCAAGTACAAATCATTGTTTAAATATTACCCCATTAAATAGTAAAAGCTTCATATCAAACCTTAGTGAATTAAATGAAAAGCGAATAAAAACGGATAATAAATATACGGATTGGTATTTTATTTGATTTTATTTGATTAGGTTAAATATTCATTAGAGTCTATAATACTAAGGTTGTAAATCCATTACTTTTATTTGCACAAGTTAACGTAAATGTCAACTAAGCAAAAATTATCATAAAGCTTTTAGGAACAATAATAAGAAAGCATTATTTATAATACTTATGTTTACCTTATCATATTCTTGAAACGTCTGGCTTAAGAAAAAATAAAACAAATTGAAAATATCTTCTGATAGTTATTGAAAAGTTTTGTTTTATAGAGATAAACGTGTTTTAAGCCTCAACCCAGACAAAAGTAGATAAATCCTAGTCACTTGAATTTAGTTGCTAACACTTGTCGCTTGTATTTAATACTTTCGGTCAATAAAATTAACTAAAAAATCTTAAAATGAAATGTCATCCAAGCTATGAATAATCCATGCTGTTAGGCCAATATGATGTTTATAAAATAAAATAAAAAAAAAACATAGTAAGTAGCCTATTTGTCCGTCCAGACTATATTCCATATGTATGCAGGCATGTAATCATCTATCCAAACATTTATAATATTAGTAAGATGGTTGAATACACGAAGTAATACTAAATCGTTAAGTCTAAATTACGTTTACGGTTTAATTTCAGCATAATCATAATGCTGACGAGATATGCGGCGTGCGGCGCGTGGCGTGCGCGCTGTCATAGCTGTCAGATCGTCAACGTTTTATGGCGGGCGGGGGAAAGCCCGCCTATTTACCAGCCGCGTTTCTAGACTATGACTATATGTCTAGACGGCCGCTCCAGAAGTCATGCGCCACTACGCTTTCACATGTTTATTCAAACGCGACGGAATGAGGCCCGCAGTCATCGCTTACGTGACGCAATTTAGAATTAATCGTTAATTACGCTTTGATTGTTTGGTTTATTTTAGTTTTCGAGCGGATATTTCCTCACGTCGCCGTCGACCGCTCGAGTCGCGTCTGCCGACTCATCACATGATTACCAATGAATCGTACAAAATAACACGCACATTACACAGAATTGACGGAATACAGTTCCCAGATCATTTCGAAGTTACATGAGTTTCCTTAACACTATACAATACTTTTTATTACGTCATATCATATTCATATCTTATATCATATCAATCAAACTTTAATACTGGCACAGTATTACGTCGGTATGTACGCGACCTGTTTTTAATAAAACTTTCAATATCTTGAGAATACAGAAACAGTTACAGACTCGTAAAAAGGAATAAGAAAAAAAGGACACTTTTTACTCTTTCTAGACGCTACTGAGTCAACGTGTAGGCTGAATACGAAAAAATAAAAAGATAATTAAATCGGCTACACTCGAATGAACAGCACTCGGCAGTATCACAATTCGAAAATAGAACAACCGAAATCTGTCTGCAGAATAACACGCCTATTTATCACGGTGCTCCGGCTACGCGGAGAAGCCTACGGCAGGTGGTCACACTTACCTACCTATATAAACCTATAAATTTTCATCTGAAGATACAATGTTGTGGTGCAAGGAGCATCGAAGTGCTTTATTTATTGCGCTAGGTGGCGGCAGCGGCGATGCGGTCTCAAGGGCCAAGGCTCCGCGCCC